TAGTTATTCTGTGAATGTCTACTGTACTAGTTTGTCTACAAATGTCTACAACATGTACATAGGTATGTATATAAATGACTTAAATGTAGGTTTTCTGTACCGTTTCTATTGTTTTCAAAACTCGTCAGTATAAGTCTGTCTACAGCGATCCTTTGTAAGAACTGTCTGAAGTATACACAGGACTGCATTATCCGTATGTCTATACATGACTCTACATAAAAGCATGCTTATAATACAGTCGATTCGTACGGAATACAGTAGTCTATATTGTGTTTAGGCGGCCGTACATTGTTAGTGTGTTATTTTTCATAAACAATAGTGTCTATGCACGTTTGTGTATGTGTGCGCCCGATGTCTGGGGAAAATTCTATTTCGTTCTATCACAGTCCCTCTATCACGGGACTGTGGTTCTATCTTTCATCTAAGCTGGTCGCTAATAATACACATAAAATACGTTGTACAATGTATATTGTGTATATAGTAAATTAGACTATGTTGATCTGTTTCCGGTTTGGTAATTCACAGCATGGTATTGTTTGTGATTCCATGTTCACGGTAACTCGATCCATTGCTTACACGATGTCAATAGCGTGTACTTGAGTTTGGTCTATGGTTTCGTGAAGTGGGGGAAATCGAGATAAATAAAAATGGTACAAAAGTATTGTGTTTTATGTTCCATTATCCCCACTGGGTGTTAAAGTTAATCTCCATCGGTACATTATTGTGTAAGGTGGCGCTACACTGGAAAATTATCGTGTTGAGGTGAATGACTACGAAAACAAGTTGTCGTCACGCAGGTGAAGACGTGTCAATTTGAGATTACTTTGCTTTACGGTGAGTAATTATGTCGTGTTTTTAACTATGGAGAAAATCACATGTCTGTGATATGGTTTGTTTTCTCGTATTGACCTCGGAGATCTGTGACATGGTCTTCCATAGAAGGTGAATATATAAAACAAGACAAGAGTGGTGGCAAATATCAGTGCTCGTATTGTGTTCATTGTTTGTAACTATAGCAACCAGGTAACTTGAAATAAACAACGTCATACTTGCTTACTGATGTGACTATTGAATTCTATAGATTTGTATAACAATAGCAACTCTCCACGGATCACAAAGACCCAATGTGTTGTTTATCAATAACAATAGATAGACGGAACCATTAAAAAAACAATAGGGTGGTGACAAAGACGTTGTTATCGTATCAATCCCTGTAATTTTAGTTTGTTGTATCCATGTAAATTCGAAATTCACATAACATTTCATCACTTTTCGAAGTGTCGCGTACCGCAAAATAAAAGGGACGAAATTTATCCCCTCTGAGCTCCCCCTCTGTCAAATAGTCGATACGCCCTTCTGATGACAGCAGGGAAGGAATTTTAATGGTGGAGTTCGACGGTTCTTTGACTTGAACAAGGATTATACTGTGCTCGGTGAGAATAACTGCATATCAAGTGAAACGAGTTTTTATCAGCTGTTCATTTCTATGTTTTTATATGGTAGGTTGATTTACAGTTTCGATATTGTACATTCACACCTAGGGGACTAGGTCGCCGTCCCTCAGTGAGTGCGAGAGTCGGAACTTTTAGCACAAGTTTCGTTGATAGTTAACATTGTCGGTATAAACATAGTACTAGTAAGTGGTGGGCAGTTATTATTGAGTGCCTGTTACATAATGAACACTTTCGTCACTTACATAATAGACCCCGGGTCAGTGATTACATCCAGTTATATCAAAACAAGGTACGTCGAAAATGATGACACTGAAATGGTTTCGTGTTCAACTTCTTGTATTGTGTAGAAAACGTGCCGATGCCAATCAGAACACTACATAAGCTGGTGTCTCACATCTGTTAATGTAAATGTTGCTTCAGATAAGTTGTTTTAAAGATAAAACGGGTGAAGTATGAAATGTCTTATATTATGGGGGAGGGGTCCGTTAGTCGCCATCTAAAGTGGATAGTATCAGTCCCCGGGATTGAACCGTGGCATCACGGGACACAATTGTCTTTATTTTTCTCAATGCGTATTGCTTCCTATTGAGATGACAGGGTGTCAGGTAAAAATTACCCGCTGTAAATGAAACTTTCTAGGCTGGGAGTTTTTTTTTTCGTGAAGGTACGGTACCATTCCTGATAATTCAACAAAACTACCCTTGTTAATAACTGGGGTAATAGCTTTACAAGGATATCCCGCTTTTTACAATATATATTTCATTATCTTGTGTGAACTGAAGTGAACTGGAGCGTACATTCATTTGTACTTTTCATGGTCAAAGCGATAATACTTTGAGTGAGACGGAATAGATCGAGAGCCGTCTTGTAATGTTCGGGATATGGATTCCATTAGGTATCATTCTTTCAGGCTTTCGTCTTAATTCCAGTTAAATTTACAATCGAATTAAACATGCAGCTTAGTTTGGCCGGTGGTTTTAATTCGGTTAGATTTTTAATCGGTTCATTGACCTATGGTGTGTCGGCGTGGATATGGCTGTGTCCTGTATTAGACAATTTACTGAATAGCAATAGCGCAATCGACAAAGTTAACTGTCGTTATTTTTTATACACTGTAGTAAGTTGTATTCCACTTCGGGAAAGACTTGGTACGGCCATGGAGATAAAAAAAAAAGATCAACTTCGTGGGTACAGCTAATTTGAATTGCAAATGAGTTAGCGTGGGTCACGTCACAGAGAACACCGATATCACCTGTTGTTGACGTACCTGGTCGTTGTGAGCGATTCTTAAATCAACTTTCACTCTGTTTGGACATACTTAACAGCGGTAGTATTTCACGTTTATTTGCAGATTTTCAGACAATGTGAATTGCAGTGACGGATAGCACAACTGGGTTTACCATGTGGGCCGTATTTAGCGGGAATAAGTGCAATAAATGGAAGATTAACTCCGCGGTGCACCTATCAATATGTGTCTCCTCTTCTAACAATGCGTTCGCAGGGTGCCCGTTACCCTATTCACAGGATTATAGCTCAGCAAAGTACATTGCTTGTCTACGCCCTGGCGTTTATTACACTTTTTCCCGTTAAACTAACAGTGGCCGGTAAGTTTTCAGACATCAATATTATTACACGGTGTTCCGTTACGTGTTACGTCATTCAACACCTATACCACACAATGATATGACGTTGGATAAATATCGATCACGTGAAAACTATGTACGATAACAATTATGGAACATTGGTTTATCTGGTTCGTACTATAGCGATGGTGTGCTGGGTCAAATGCGGTCATTTGAAAACAAAAAAATTGTAGTCGCGTACTTATACGGTGCGGTACTTTGATTTCATATCCCATGTCATAATTAGGTTACACATGGACCTACAAATGTCCACGAGTTACGTATATAGCCAGGTGGTAACCATGGCGATTCTCATTAGCTAATAGTAGACGGTCGTTACTTGGCGAATACTTGCAATATTCGACAAATACCATTGTGGCTCGTGTTTTTGTAGCTGAGAGGACCAGTCTGCTTCTTTGTCAGTGTCGCCGTCTGACGAATGTCTTGTTGACGTAAAATGTTTAAATAACTTGAATTCTTTTATTTTTGTTATACACTGAAGTGTTTCGTTTGAATACTGGATTGTGACTTTAAATGACAGCCACAACCTTTCGAAGTACGCTAATATGCATTGCACATCCGGTTGACTGGAAACTTACAACTAATAACGCTGGAATTCTCGCTGTCACGAGTGATGCGAACCTGAGTTGTTTATTAGTCAGTGCTTGATAATACACATGCCTTTGGGTTGAACAATGCATTGCCCTTGATTCAGTCGACTTTGTGGCCCAGAAACGCCCTGCATTCAATCTATCATCCGAGTCTAATATTTTCTCCAGACAAAAGTCACCGATTCCAATAGTTCGCGTTAACAGGTGGTAGTAGTTTGTTCCGTTATATTCGCGTGAATTATAGCAATACTTTTGACTCTAATAAATGTTCTTTTTATCAATAATATCTAATATATTAATACATTTAATATTCAATTTGAAAAATATTTAATATATTTAATATTTAATTTGGAATACTACTAAGTATTTCAAATCAAATCTAAGTTGTCAAGCGTTAATTATATAATATACTTAAACAGTTTCTTTGTGAATAGATAATATAGACATGTATTTTTCTCCCCTTGTTGCCAGAACATATCGTAGATTGAAATGGCTGTGTACAATACATATAAAGGGTGTAGCTAGTAAATGAAGACGAACATAGGTCACTGTTTGAACTATTGATAGAGTTGTGCATAGCCATCAATATGTGTATTGTCATTATTATTTTTTTCATTTGACCATATCGATTTCAGACCGTTGAGGCATTACACATGATTATGTAGTTAGTATGCATATCTCTACCAAACAGTCATATAAATAGGATAATGCGAGTAAACACTACACCAACTTTTGTTGCGGGCCGAGTACAACCCTTAAACGCAGGTGAAACCAAAATGGGACCCACTTGTGTCCTGGGTGAGCGAACCATATATTGAATCTCAGACAACTATAATAATTTAAGAACGTTTGCGAGAATCATTAACGAATTTATGCGAATCTTTATTAAAGCGCGGTAGACGTCGCGCAGCGCGTGTTCGAATTTCATGTAAATAAACAATGTATTTTACACGCGTTGCATACGTCGTTATGAGTCCCATATCGAACAGAACGCGGCGCGACGACTGCCGCCCTTTAAGTTCTGTCGGTGATTGTGTTCCGGTTTCGATTCTGATTCAACGACAGGTTAAAGAATTAGGCCTTATTTGGTGAAGTCAATATAAATGTAGATGAGACTGCCAGGATAAAATTCATCCAAAAAATGCTATAATGCTACAGCTACACATCCGTCTCATGTAGTCCCAAACATGAAGTACACATGGTTTGTATGTTAAAATGCAGTAAAATGCACCGTGACGCACGTGTAATAAAATTCAGGAGATACAACAGTTCCTTTCAGTCTCCGGAATTGTCGCCTGCCACCTATAAAATAAACACAAACAAAAACAACAAAAGACAAATCGTATTAAACATTGTCATTGTGTTTCACACTATATTGTATTTTTGAGGTCGTTTGATGCCGACCTCCGTCTGAACTGAGCACCAATATGAGTGTAACATGGGACCCATTTGGAACAAGGCGCGCCGCGACGAGTAAGTTAACAATACCAGTTTCAAAAATCACGCCACGATACGTTGTTTTCTACAGTTCCCGCCACGATTAATCTGGCGACCCAACTATAGACCGATTATTACAACACAATCAGTATAAAACAAATCAATCATTGACAGAGGCGGACAAAAATATTATAGTTATTTATTAGGAAGTCCATACTTTGTCAAATCAGTTTTATTTTCATTAAATCAGTACATTAATGTTTGTATTATTATTTACCTTATGATATGTAGATTTGGGTTAGTTATATACTCATATTCCTATTATGTGATACTGTTCCCCTGGGACAACGCATTGACGACTTAAAGACAAAGTGTGTTGTCAGGGTTGTCTGTGACAAAAACGCACTCGACTTCGTGTCTATTAATGTACCGCGAACGACAGTTGCATAGACTGATAGACTGTCGTCTAGTCGTCTCGCCCAGTGGAATAATTGTCCTTTCTGTAAGAGCGCGAGATGAACACCGAATGTTAATACGAGAGCGATTGTTACACACTGTAAACGCCTTTGCGCGACCCTGTGACTTCTTCAGAATCTCGCGCTGTATACCCACTTACCACAATCAGAATTTGAATCTGAATCGACAATACTAATATTCAGCCAAAAAGTGGATCTTATTCACTAGACGTATCTATGCCAGAATTGGGATCTGTTGACCTGGGGCACATACCAATTCCACATTCCTGAATAACATACATTTGTCCTGGATCCGAAACCGCTACACAAGAATATCCCCATACACACACATTGTAAATGCGAAAAGATAAAGGCCACACTCCCCTCTATCAGATGACATTATTCTTTTAATATAACGCGTATACATGTATAACTATTGTCAAGGTTACAATATTTTCAGAAAAACTTTGTGTTTATCGAGCGGGTTCAGGAATGGTAGCTATGGTCATGTCTTTCTTGCCTAATGTATATGTGATCTTTCGACCACTATGAGAAACACGTATACGTGAACAGATTGGTACCGGTTAAATGGTTGATGACGTCATTATAGTTTGCATAACTGTATAAATATTGATTCTCGAAATTCATCACGTGGAGGTGCTTGTTGTCATCGAAACCATTGCGCTTGAATTGGAAACCATTTTGAAGAAATGTTGAAATGAAATTTTTGAAATATTATATATCCGAAAACGACCCAACCATAGAATTACGTACACGAAGTTTTCTGTAATGCGACAGCAGTGCTGGGTTGGTGGGGGAGGGCGGGACATGATAAGCATTTGGTCGCTCATATATAACTAGTGTAACAAATACTTATACCCTTTTCAATCTTGGTAGTTAAATTGTAAAATGATAGTTTGTTGATATGTTGCAATTTGTATTTTGAGCCGAAACATCTTATCTTCAAACAACTAAACAACAACAAAATCAACAGTCTCAAGCGAGGTTGGTGTCAGACGCGCTTTATTCGTTATTGTACTCTAAGGTGAAACCCCACACAGCAAAAAAAAAATGGTTTGTGTACATCGAAAAATTAGTATCATACGTTGTCAGAAACAGTTATTAGGACATTAGATCATTGATCTATATGGTAATCGTTACGCGTGAGAATTTCATAGAAACAGTGTATTTTACACGCGTTATATACTTCGCATAGGATCCACCTTCGAACACGACTCGACAACTACCGCCTTTCCCACATACGTGTATTGGACTCAATTACAGTGGTCTGTTTGCGGATCTGAGACCAGTGTGTCACAAATAGTAAAAATACATGTATAATATTATAATTTTAGATTAAAAAGCAATTACAATTTGACTTGGTAAATTACTTTTTATTTTTGTTTCAGTGGTAATCACGATTGAATTGAAATAATCAGACTACATTTTGTGATAGTAGAATCAAGAGTTGCTGGGGCTCCAGAGGTCACAGCGAATCTTAATGTCGCCAGTCATGCCAGTTGCCCCGGGGTTGCACTCTAGCCTATTTTTTTTTAAAGAATCAGTTTGTGCATGGTGAGTGCAAACATGCATTCAAAGACATTGTTAACCACGGTTGTCATGGATACATGACCACCAGAGACAGGCGAAAAGGAAAGTATTGTCGCAAAGCACCGAGTGTAAACAGCACCTATACCTGTATTACAATGGGTGACGATCGTATGGACACATTGAATGGCAAACTGATAACTTACAATAAATACTATTAAACAATTTGGTGTAAAAACGTGCAACGGATTTCATGGAGATACGAATGTATGTAAATGTTTAAAATAATCATATAACATATACCGTAGAAACCCTCGAGCATCACTCCAATCCAGAGATTACGCTCCCATTGGCTATCGTGGCCATTCATTTAACACCCATTTACGGACCACAAGGTTTTGCGGGTTTTCATCAATCATTGATAGATTTACCGCCATGCATCCGTTAACACGCTATGATTCGTGTTCAAGTCGTTTTCAACTGCCATTTGAAATTTATAAAATATATATATATAGTTGATAAATAAAAACAAAGTCATTCACGCCCTCTATAGATTAACAGCTGATTGTGATGTACAATCCAGACTCCGAAAGTCACGTTACTAAGGGCCGCATTTCCCAGCATATACTGAGTAATCCATCCACTATTATGTGCATAAATACGATGTAAAATAAAATCTTCCATGTCTACTCTATTCTTATCGTATTTTGTTTTTTGAAATAACCACCATGTGGTTATAGAATAATCACACAGTGGCGACCACATTCTACTAGTCTGAGTCTAGAGTTAATACAAAGTCGGCGGCAATACAGCGATTAGTTGAACTCATTTTAAGGTTTGTGACCATTACATAGCAACACTTATTATGGCGTTATTGCTTCTTTTGTGAAGCATATCACCGAGATATGAGATTCCACTGAGATTCAAATGTTATTTCTCTTGACAAATAACGGACAGTCGTTCATTTCCATGGGTGGTCCGAGAATCTTAGCATAGATAAATAAGTAATAAATAATCTGGATAGATCAGTAAAATTGTTTCCTTATTTTGTTTATCAAGATAGATAACATATACATGCACACCGTATTGAATGTGCAAAGCAAATAATAAATAAATAAATAAATAAATAAATAAATAAATAAATAAATAAATAAATAAATAAATAAATAAATAACAGTCTATACTCATTGCTAATATATGTACATGGAGCTCAGAATAATAATAATAATAATAATAATAATAATAATAATAATAATAATAATAATAATAATAATAATAATAACTTTATTTAATTAAGCGCAACAATTCCAACATATGAAGATC